TTGTTTTATTAGCCAATGAGTTGTAAATGAAATATGTAATCTTCTCTTAATGTGTTTTGAACAATAAAACAGAAATAAAATTGTTTCATTTTCCTACATGAATCTTATAGACTTTGATCATATTCTCCATTTCCTTCTCTTGTCCCTGTCTCCCCCACCAGCTAGCTGTTCCCTTCCTCTTTATAGTAAACTATAAAGCTTTGATGAAAATATGGGCAGTTTCTATTATGTTCACATATATCAACAGAAGTGATTAATCTCAGGAGAGAGTTTTTCTTTTATTTAATGAAAGAAATTTTAATATAAATTATTATGCATTGAAAAGTGATGTCCACACATCGAGTAAATGATACAAATGAGTTAATTCAGTTAATCACCAGAACTTTGAGAAAAAAATGATACTGTTTCCTTAGACATATTATAGGTGATAAGATAGACATGTAGAAAGGGCATAATTTAAGCTCTATCAGGGAAGGAAAATCACAGGGTAATGTGGACTCTTGGACTTGTAGGGTTAGACCTTATTCAACTGAGCTGCTCAGAGAAGACTGGCACTTCGGTATCTGATGTTGAATCTGTTGTCAGCAGAGAAGGTAGTCAAACAGGAAAGATGGACATGAAGTCGTGGTTAGCAAGGTCAGGCTTGGCCCCTGTAGGATACGGTGGAAACCATGAGGATAGATTCATAGGTATGTCTTCTTCCAACCTCAGAGACTGGAAGTGGGCTATCTGAATTCTGTTGCTACAGTTATGCTTCCTTGTATGCCCCTTTCACCGCGTAGGTACGTGTGCATCTTGCTCAGATTTGGAATGTTGAGGTAGGAGGTCGATGACTTGGAGAATTGGTGGTTGCCTTCTACCTAAATGTGAGTCAGTAGGTTAGCTTCTAGCAGTATCGGCCCATCCAGGTTCACATCATAAAACAATGACTGCAGGAATTCTGCCTTTGAAATATTGAGTAGATGTAAGCATGCCCATTGGATCATACAAGAAGAATTCATGGAAACATGTTTCCAGCTTGGCTACATTGGCATGCTGCAACTTCACCATGCAAAGGTTAAGCAATAGCCAGGGTCACACGTTTAATAAGTGATAGGGCCAAGAGTTATACCAAGTTCTACCTAATACCAGACTTGGGTTATAATTAACCACAGTCCAAAGGCCTTTATTGCCTTTTAAGTAGTAGGTAAAAAGAGTGTATTCAATAAGTAAATTGTTCAGCAACTATTTCAGAATGTTCTTATTGTTGGACATTAAAATAGAAAGAATCCTTCCCCTTCAGAGTTTATTTGAAAAAAAATGGGAAAATTTAGTACAGGAAAGAATGAGTAAGGAAGCCTCTTGGAAAAGTAAGGACAGAGGGCAGGGAGAGGGAATGGCGTCATGAGGTGCCAGCGCATCCAGGTCACAGTGGGTATATGGTGGTGAACAGAACGCTACCCTTCTTCACTCCTGCTACTTCTGTACATGAGTGACTCATTCAGAAGGAAAGAAGGAGGATTAATGCTGGTTCTATTGGAAATCTTCCTTTGGTATTGACCTATGTTCCTCTGTGGTAGTCTCACTGTAAATTAAGAGTACTTCTATTTTTTCACTCTAAACATAGAGCCTGTCCTTGTCCACTCAGGATGCTATAGAAAAATAATGTGAATTGTGGATTCTGAACAACAGAAATTTATTTCTTACAGTGTGTTAGTAGCTTTCGCGTCTGGTGAAAGTCCATGCTCAGATTTATACACGGCATACACTGTGTCCTCACGTGGTGGGAGAGTGTAGCTATCTCCCTGTGGTTCCACTTATTTATTTTCTCGTGCTTGAGATTGAAACTAGGATCTTAAACATGCAAAGCAAGTGTTATACCATCAAGTTAGAAGGCCGGGCCTGCAGTTCCTTTTGTAAGGGCCCTATATGCATAACTTCTTTGCTGTCATAACCTAATTACCTTTCAAAGGCCTTTTCTAATGTCATCACCTTAGAACTTTAGTGTTTCAACATGTGAGGTTTGAAGATACTAACAGTCAGATTTTACTAGAGCCTTCAAGCTTGGGAAGCTCACACCTTGGCAGTTCTTAGAGAGATCAGCACTTCATTTGTCC